ACACACACACACACACACACACACACACACACACACACACACACACACACTGGTTATGCACACTATTCTCAATAACAATTTAAATAAATGTTTTCAAAATGCAAGTGCCACATCTCCAGCACCTGTTCTAAATTTGACTTGTGATTTGAATCCATGGATGAGAGCCTATGGGTATGGAGAGCCCACTAGGTAGCAGTCCAGATGCTACATGGTATAAGGAAAAAAATATGAGGACACAGTAATGGTGACTGATTTACCTTCAGGGTCATAGCAGAGTTCCTGGAGATGAAGAATAAATCATCAGAAGGAAGACCCTGCTCCAGGCAGAGGAACTGCTGGTGTACAGGCTGTCGAGATTATTGAACAGTAAAGGTTAAGAGGGAGACAGTAAGAGACACAATTAGACCTCTCCTCTCCCTTTTTGCTTTCCTTCTGTGGGGTCTGGCCTCAAACTGGCCATGTAGCTGGGATGACCTTGAATTGAATTTCTGATCCTCCTGCCCACCATCTCCCAACTACTAGGATTATAGCTTGCTCTGTCACACCTGGTTTATACAGTGCTTGGGCCTGAACTCTGGGCTTTGAGCATGCTAAGCAAGCACTCTGCCAGCTGAGCGCCATCCCTGGCTTTGCAGTCATACTTTAGATGCCTCTCAGAGGTTTAAGAATGAGAGGACTGACACCATTTGACTACTTTATATTAAAAAGTTTTGGGGAGGCAAAGGCTGATGGTCTCGTTGAGTTCCTGGCTAGTCAGGGCTACGTCATGAGACTGTCTGGAAAGAAAGTAGTCAAAGCCCCCCCCCCCCAGCTGTTGTGACATGCAGGAGGACAGGAGTGAGGAATAATCCAAGTGCAAGATGAGTACAGCTTGTTCTGTGGTGTTAGGAAGTAGGGAGATGTCAGGTGCTGAAGATAGTTAGAGACAGATCTGAGAAATTGATAATGGGTTAGATCCGGGAGTGACAGAAAGCAGGTGTCGAGGATAAATTAAAAAATGTTTTTCCCTTGCACTTTTATCCATCAAATATTTATTGAGGGTCTAGATGATGGACATGCAACAGTGACCAAGCCAGTACTTCTGTTTTCTTGGGACTTAGCAGTATGAAGTTGTGATAGCTCATTGTCTTTTGGTGGCATCACAACTCATTTGTTTTTAGTGCTTCATAATGTCCTTTGTGTGGTTATGCCCTAATATATGTCCATTTCATTTTTTTTAAATAAAGATTTATTTATTTATTATGTATAGTGTTCTGTCTGCACACACCCCTGCAGGCCAGAAGAGGGCACCAGATCTTACTACAGATGGTTGTGAGCCACCATGTGGTTGCTGGGAATTGAACTCAGGACTTTTGGAAGAACAAGCAGTGCTCTTAACCTCTGAGCCATCTCTCCAGCCCCCCATTTCATTTTTTAAGGATATCTTGATTGCTTCTAAGTTTTAGCAGTTATGAATAAAACAGCTATATATTATACCTGGTTTTAAGTTTTTAATTTTAATGAGGTCCAATTTCTCAGTTCTCTCTCTCTCTCTCTCTCTTTTTCTTTCTCTCTCTCTCTCTCTCTCTCTCTCTCTCTCTCTCTCTCTCTCTCGTGTGTGTGTGTGTGTGTGTGTGTGTGTGTGTGTGTGTTTTGTTTAAGACATTAACAGCCTTCCCAAAAAAACTGGGCATAATGGTACATGCTTTTGATTCCAACACTCAGGAGACAGAGGCAGTCTGATCTCTTGAGTTCGAGGCCAGCCTGGTCTACAAAGTGAGTTCTAGGACAGCCAGGGCTATACAGAGAAACCCTGTCTTGAAACAAACGAACAAAACCAAAAAAATAATACACCAACAGCCAGGTGTGGTGGCACTTGTCTTTAATTTCAGCTGAAGGCAGAGGCTGGTGAATCTCCCTGAGTTCAAAGCCAGCATAGCCTATATAGTGAGACTATCAAAAAAAACCCAAAACCAAAGTCGCTTAGATTTTCTCCTATAGTCTGGATTTGGGATCTTACATTTGTTTACTTTCTTGCCTTTTGCTGTACTAGGGAAGGAACCCAGTGTCTTATGCATGGTAAGTGAGCACCCTGTCACTGAGTGTACATTTCCAGTTACTGAAACTGCAGCACTTTGAACTTGACCCTGACTGGTGTGCCAAAGAAATGAAGTAAGGACAGGCGCATGTACAGAAAAGCTAGGGTTGGGTGGGCCATGTGCTCTGATGGAGGTATACCAGCAGCAGCCCTGAAACGCAGTGCATTTATATGTATATATTTTAACCAGTTGGGGCAGATTTATTGTATACAGTTGAATGAGGAGGCAAGTTTAGCTAATTTCAGTAGTGGGTCTCTGTAGGGGAGGTCTCCAGCTATAAACATTCAGGAGGGAAAAAACCAACAACTGTAGTCCACACTTTGTACAGTTACTGTCAACATCTGAACATAGACCAGGGGAAGGTTTTGCCATCTCTAGGATTCTGAGGACTTGAAGTTATGGACACTTTGTATTCACGTCAACAGTGCACATTCATTCAGGACTTTATCCACTTTCCACACCCAGCCCTTGGTTTTTCATGCAGGGTCTTACTGTACAACTCAGCTCTGTCTTAGAATTGTCCTAGAACTCAAGGTTCTTCTGAGTCAACCTCCCAAGTGCTAGGATTATAGGCATGTGCCATCCTGTTTATCTGAAACTTTCTGAGCACCATGAACCTTTAGTTTTGGGGGTTATTTATTTTGTTAAGGCAAAGTCACAATATGTAACCTGGCAACCTAGAACTCACTGTGTAGACCAGACTGGTTTTGAACTCAGATCAGCCTGCCTCTTCCTCCTCAGTGCTGGGATTAAAGTTATTCACTACCATGCCTGGCCTGAATTTTGGAATTTAGAATTAAGGATGCTCATTCTGTGACATGCCATGCAACTCACCTGTGGAAGTGTGTGATTTAATAGTTTTTAGTATATTCATAGAGTCATACAACCATCACTAGTCAACTTCAGAACATTTTTATCATTCCGAAAAAGAAACCTCATGCCTCCCTGCCTCTTTCCTATCCCCTATACTAGTCTGCTTTCTGTCTCCATACATTTGTCTATTCTGGACATTTCATGTACATGGAATCATGCCGTGTGCTCCTTTGTGTCTAGCATTCTTCACTTGGCATGTCATTTATACCATAGCCTTTATCAGAACTTCAGTCTGACTGAATAAAATTACATATTAGGAGCCTGTCATATTTTGTCTGTTCTCAAAAGACAAGTAGTTTGACTATTATATGTAATAGTACTATGAACATCCAAATACAAGTTTTTGTGGGGATGTAGTATATATAGTCTTCTGTATATTCAGATTCCAAATTGCCAGGCCACCCAACAGATTTAGCACATTTCTCTCCTTCCATCTTTGTCTGGCTTCCTGGGATTGAACTCAGGTCTCCAGGCTTGATTAGTAGTGGCCTTTACCTATGGGGTTGTCTCATTGGCCCAGTGTTAGGCTTTGTTTGTTCTTCTGAAAGTCTCTCATGTAGTCCAGGTTAGCCTTGAGCTTGATACATAGCTGAAATTGTCCTGGACTGATGCTGCAGCTGCTACTTCCTGTGCACCACCACTCCTGGTTTGCAACAGAAGGATATGTGTAGGTTCTGTGCAAATGGTGCACCATTTTACAGAAGGTGTGTATCCACAGATTTAGGTATCTTAATAGGTACTAGAAGAAAGGTGAATATATTTAGTGTGAACTGCTAGGCCAGAGAAGTGACATACTCAGGTTCCTGTTATAAAAAGATGCTGGTTGGGTGTGGTGCACACCAGCACTTGGGAGGCAGAGGCAGGCGGATCTCTGAGTTCAATGCCAGCCTGGTCTACGTGGTGAGTTTCAGGACAGCTGAGGCTACAAAGTGAGACTGTCTCAAGAAAGGCCTTGGCTACTAAATAGAGAATGGTTTGAAGGAAGTGTGAGTGGACGTGGATCAGGTTAGGGATTCTGTCTGGGGTGCCATTTAGCAGGAGAGGTTGGGAAAAAGCCCTTAGGGAACAGGCAGGAGGAAGGTGATTGTCCCCATGCATGGTATACTGGAGCTGGCTCCTACTGGCTTTCAAGAGCTGATTCTATATATTCCTATATAGAATATATATATATATTGGCAAGTTTATGTTGAAAGCTTTATATTTGCTATAGTGGGAATATTTGCACAGTGGCATTTGGCAAACTACAAATCAGGGTTTTCCCCATCCCCTAGAGAGCCAGTAGTAGCTCAGTGCTTACCAGGACATCCCTGCTATCTGCTTGGCATGGTTTCCCACAGGTGCTGACTTCTAGAACAGGCAAGAGCTTAAGTTCCATTTTACATCCCCCCCCCCCCTTTTAAAGATGTTTGAGAGAGCAGAGGACATTTTCATGATTATGTACAGCCAAAGTGAGAAATCACAGCTGGGATTTCTGAGCTAGAACTCAGAGTGGTATGATACAAGGGACTGCTAGGATGCTGTGGGAGTGGCTGTTGTCATGACAGTTGTGGACCGAATGAGCTCACTTGAGGCCAGAGCCAGAGGATCCAGACAAAACCAGCTTTCCCTTTTCTCCCTCATTTCTCAACTGGAAAGCAGACCACAGTGTAGAATGCTTCCTAGACCTGTGCTATTGGTCAGGAACTAGAAAACAGGCAGATATGAGTGAATCATTCGGTTGATAAATGTACTGGGAATAGCACACTTAGACCAGACTCTCTGGTGAAGAGGCACAGGCAAAGAAGGCATTTACAGACCTGAAGGACTTCTACAGGAGCCAGAACCAGATGATGAAAGTCATCACAAGGACCAGTTAATGGACTCAGCAGCCAGCATTCAGCAGCATGACTGAAATATTAACACATTCCTGGAGGGGAGGTGGGGGGAACTGGCTCATCAGCTTCCACTCAAACCTTTCCCTTCCTGGCAGTACTTCAGCAAAACATCATTTTGCCTGAGTGCCAGATTCTGTGGGTCCCTCTCCTGGGACTGCCCCCTAAGATGGTTATAAGTGGCTGGTAGCTTATTTACTTGTGTTATCTGTGAGAGGCCGTGGAAAGAAGAGCCCATCAGTGGGTAGCTCTGGCTCATACGCCTGCCAGTCATAGCTTTACCTGGAGCGAACAGATGGTCTCTTTGCTTAGACCCATTTCCTGGGCCCCCTGCCAGCTTGGGCCCTGCTTGGGAACTCTTCTAATTCTTGGAACTGATTAGGGGCTTCTTAGAAGGACAGATATAATAGATGGGTGCATCGATATGCTTACAGGCCCCCCATCCCAAGCCCTATGCAGGCCAAGCACACCCCGCAACTGTAATGGGCTCTTTTCCATCCCTGGCCTCGGGCCAGGGTTCTGCCACAGAAGTCAGCCCAGGAACTGAGGAAGCCTGCAGAGAGGACACCACACATTTTGTTTATTAAAGCTAATTGGTGAGTGCAGACCCAGGGAAACCAATGATTCATTAGCATCTTGATTAATATGCAGCTGCTGAGTATAAGAAAATGAAATGGAAAAGCTGAAATCCATAATAGAAGGGTTTGGGTTTGGAAAAATAAAAAGGTGCTCTCAGTAGACATCCAGTGCAGACTTTTGTCCCACCACAAAATTTGAATTAGTTGAATTCAAGTGATTTTTGTTCACCTCACCTCTTGAGTATTGGAGTAGAGCATCTTGGAGCCATTAGAAGTTCAGTCAGGTTTCGAGAATTACACAAAAAGAAAGACCTGGCAAGACTGAGTCTAATTTTGAAATCCTGAAACTTGAGCTGGTCCAGGAGAAGGTGAGACAAGGCAAGCCGGGTGTCAGAAGGCATGGGAGATCTTAGAGTAGCTCTGTCAGCAGAACACTCAGGAATTGAGCACATACTGAAGCCTTTGAAGTGCTGAAAAGCACAGAAGAGAACTGTCGTTCCCACCCTGAGCACATGAGCACAAAAAGCATAATCTAAAGCAGAGTCATGACCAAGAACAGGAAGGGAAGCTTAGGTCTTGCTTTGGCAGAGGCAGAAAGGCAAAGTGGAGCTGGGCAGAGGTGGCGCACGCCTTTAATCCCAGCACTCAGGAGGCAGAGCCAGGCGGATCTCTGAGTTCGAGGCCAGCCTGGTCTACAGAGTGAGTTCCAGGACAGGCAACAAAACTACACAGAGAAACCCTGTCTCGAAAAACCAAGAAGAAAGAGAGAGAGAGAGAGAGAGAGAGAGAGAGAGAGAGAGAGAGAGAGAAAGAGAAAGTGGTTTGGGGTAAAGGCTAGTGGGTTTGGAGAGATTTTTTGTTAAAGGGTCAGGTTGCTAGGGCAGAGGCTATGGCTCAGTGATAGAGCATTACCTAGCATGTACAGAGCCTGGGGCCCACCCCCACGTAGAAAACAAAACAGTATGCCTGAAAAGGGTGCAGCAGGCCCAAGCCCTGGAAAGCCTTGTCTGCCACACAAGGAATTGATATTTGACTGTATGGCCCCGAAGGCCTTTCTTAAACTGTTCACACAGGGTTAGGAGATCAGATTTTGGTTTGGAAGGTCACAATGGTCCTAGTGAGAAATGAAAACGATAAGGCTACAAAGGATAATAGATGGGGGGGAGGGTTGAAAGGTAGAAATTTGAAGACTTCTAGATAGGACATGGAGGGCCAGAGAAACCCAGCTCCAGACTGACTGCTAAGTTTCTAGTGTGGGGGCCAGGTGGCTTTATGTATCATTTAAGAGGAGGGAGGGTGGGATCTTCTTGTGTAGGGAAAGAAGGGAGATGCTAACTGGTGGGCAAAGATGGAGCTTGAATGTCTGGGATAGCTTTGCTGCTGGGAGGTCTGGAAAAAGACACTTTCGTGGAGAACAGAAGAGGGTCCTGGGCTGGGAATAAATTTTGGGGTAACCAAAGTATGGGTGGTAATGAAAGCCCTCAGGGATCATTAATTTTTTTTTGTTTTGAGACAGATTCTCTATATAGATCAGCCTGCCCTTGATTTTGGAGAAATCCACCTGCCTTTTTCTCCCAAGTACTGGGATTAAATGTTCCACCACAGCCAGTTTAAAAATCATTAATTTTGGCTGGGCAGTGGTGGCACATGCCTTTAATCCCAGCACTCTGGAGGCAGAGGCAGGTGGATCTCTGTGAGGTCGAGGACAGCCTGGTCTACCAAGTGAGTCCCAGGATAGTTAGGGAACAGTGAAACCCTGTGTCGAAAAGCAAGCAAGCAAACAAACAAACAAAAATCATTTATTGGCTGCACATGAAGATAGAGAAGATGACTTCTACAAGGCCCCAGTCCTCCTGGAGTCTAGAATTAGCTGAGTCATAGACTAAGACAGGAACACTGTAAGTGATGTGTGTACTAAGGCCAGCAAGGAGTTCTTTCTAGAGAACTCTAGTGTTCCTAATGCTGTGACCCTTTAATACAGTTCCTCATGTTATGGTAACCCCTAACCATAAAATTATTTTTGTTGCTACTTCATAATTGTAATTTTGTTATGTTGTGAATCATAATATAAATATCGATGTTTTCTGATGGTCTTGGGCAACCACTGTGAAAGGGTCATTCAGTCTGCAAAGGGGTTGCAACCCACAGGTTGAGAACCACTGTTCTAGAGGATCCAGGACTTAGGTAAGAAAGGCACCTCACACTACAAAGATGCCCTTGAAGAAAGGTAGCCTGAACTGTGGAAGACAGCTGGGAAGGCCTGAAGGTATAGATGGGAACATCAGGAGTTAGAAGACAGCAGAGTCAGTGAGTGATATGGCTCATGGTAGAAAGGTGCTTGCCTCTGAGCCTGATGACCTGGTTTTGATCCCTAGGATTCACATGGTGGGGGAATTAGAGAACAGACTTGGAAATTTGTTGTTGGTTTCTCTTTTACTCTAACCCCACGTTGGCATGTCACAACGTTGTTTTTACTCTTTTGGGGGGCCCACACCCAGCTCCCAAATAAATGGCTCATGGAGGCTTATTCTTAATTATAAATGCCCAGCCTTAGCTTGGTTTGTTTCTTGCCAGCTTTCCTTAAATTTAAATTAGCCCCATCTATCTTTTGCCTCTGGGCTTTTCCTGTTCTCTTACTTCTGTAAATCTTACTCTTATTCAGTGGCTTGCTGTGTAGCTGGGTGGTGGGCCCCTTAGGTCCTCCTCCTTCTCTGGCTACTTATTTTCTCCAAGATTTCTCCTTCTATTTCTTCTCTCTGCCTGCCAGCCCTGCCTATCCTTTCTCCTTCCTTGTCATTGGCCATTAAGTTTTTTATTAGCCCATCAAGGTGTTTTAGGCAGGCAAAGTATCACAGCTTCACCAAGTTAAGCAAATGCAACATAAACAAAAGTAACACACCTTAAAATAATACTCCCCAACAGAAATTATGTCTATAAAACTCACGTCTATAATCTCAGCACTTGAAAGGTTGAGACAGGAATGTTGCCTTGAGTTTGAAACCAGCCTGGCCTAAAGAATGAGATAGTGTCTCAAAACCAACAACGAAATGGGCTATGGACAACTGCATGCTAGAATTCAGAGGCAACCAAGACATTTCTCTGAGGCTTCTGATCATACATGACAAGCACACAGTAGTGTAGATCTGGCTGGAGAATTTCTCTCCAGCTCCCACCAAGCCCCAGCAGTCCGATAGCCCACTTATAATATAAACACACAGACCCTTATATTATTTACAAACTGTATGGCCGTGGCAGGCTTCTTGCTAACTGCTCTTATAGCTTAAATTAATCCATTTCCATAAATCTATACCTTGCCATGTGGCTCGTGGCTTACCGGCATCTTCACATGCTACTTGTCATGGCAGCGGCTGGCAGTGTCTCTCTCCGCCTTCCACTTCCCAGAATTCTCCTCTCTCCTTGTCCCACCTACTTCCTGCCTGGCCACTGGCCAATCAGTGTTTTATTTATTGACCAATCAGAGCAATTTGACATACAGACCATCCCACAGCAGTAGATCTTTTGAGGTTATAGATGGTGGCAGGCAGGCATGTTGCTGGAGCAGCAGCTCCGAGCTCCTGTCTTGATCCACAAACAGGAAGCAGAGAGGGCATACTGGGAATGGTGCCAGTGTTTTGAAACCTCAAACCCCAGTGGCACACTTCTCCAAGGCTACACTTCCTAAACCTTCCCAGACAGTTCCACCAACTGGGGACCAAGTATTCAACATGTAAGCACACCCAGGGGTGGGGGGGTTGGTTCTTATTCAAACTATCATAGTGCTTGCTTCAGAGAGGCCTGTGGGTATACAAAGATATGAATAGTGGCTTTGCACTGCAGAGTGTGTTCTGGAACCACAAGCATGTTAGGCTTATACTTGGTTCAACTAGGTTATACAAGGGCTGGGGGCTGCCTCATATCTCAAGGTATGAATGAAATAGAAAATTTTTCAAGTGTCACCCACAAAGGCAGCAGTCCACACCTTCCTCACTCATACCATACGGCTTAAATAGATCACGTTCTCCCTGGCCTCATGAGTGTGTGTGTGTATGCTACTTGATTGTGGAAAGCACATATTCTACCACTGAGCTCCAGCTCAGGTCAGCCACTTTTTGGAGAACATCATGCTAATTTCAGTACTTTCAGAAGTCAGAGTTTAACCCTTGTATCTTCACTTTAGTGCCAACTACCAGCTGCCAGGACCCTTCTCCTCTCTGGACTCCAGCATTGAAATCCTGAAGAAGAAAGCCCAGGAGCTGATTGAAAATATCAATGAGAGCAGGCAGAAGGACCATGCACTTATGACCAACTTCAGGGACAGCCTCAAGATGAAGGTGACAGAATCCCTCAGAGGGAGGGAAGACCCTATGGTCTGACATCTGTTAAGTTCCAGAGACTCCACAAGGCTCTTTGTACATGGTTCTCATTTTACTCTAGAACACTTAGATTGGGCCATTCTCTATAGGTTAGAGAAAACTAAGGCTCAGAAATGAAGGAGTTTGGATGAGTGTGTTGCTTAATGGTAGAGCATTTGCCTAACCTGAAAACAGCTATTGGTTTGATACCCATTTACACACACACACACAATTTTTTAAGTGGTAAACCAGATGTGGTAGCTCCACCTTTAATCCCAGTACTTAGGAAGCAGAGGCAGGCAAATCTCTGCATTCAAGGCCAGCCTGGTAGTATATAGGTAGTTAATTTTTTTTTTCTTTTCTTTTTTAAGTTTTTTGAGACAGGGTTTCTCTGTGTAGCCCTAGCTGTCCTGGAACTCACTTTGTAGACTAGGCTGGCCTTGAACTCACAGAGGTGCACCTGCCTCTGCCTCCCAAGTGCTGGAATTAAAGGTGTATGTCATCTACTGCCTGGCATACATAGTGAGTTTCAAGCCAGCCATGCTACATAGTGAGAGTCTGTCTCAAAAAATTTAAAAAAGTGGGGCTTGAGATGGCTCTGCAGTTAAAAGCACTTACTGCTCTTCCAGAGGACTGAGTTTGACTCCTAGCACCTGTCAGGTTATTTACAATTGCCTATAATTCCAGCTCCAGTAGATCAGATGCCCTCTTCTGACAGCCACAGTTACTAGGCATGCATATTACACATACAGACAAGCAGGCAAAACACCCATATCTTTAAAAATAAAAAAGTGGTAAATGATGTAAGGGAGCCAGGCTCAGGAACCCAGATCTATCCATGCTAGATAAGTCTTCTAATACTGAGCCTTACTTTTTATTTTGAGGCAGGGTCTCACTTGCCCTGTTGGTCTTGAACTTACTCTGTAGTCCAGGCCTTGAACATATAATGCTCCTGTCTCAGCTTTCTAAGTAGCTAGGATTACAGGCCTGCTGTGGGATGTTCTCTATGCTGTGAATGTACTGCTATGATTGATTGACAAATAAAATGCTGATTGGCCAGTAGCCAGCCAGGAAGTATAGGCGGGACTAGCAGAGAGGAGAATTGGGGGAACAGGAAGGCAGAGTGAGGGAGATGCTGCCAGCTGCTGCGATGAGAAACAAGATGTAAGCTACTGTTAAGCCACAAGGCAAGGTATAGATTAACAGAAATGAGTTAATTTAAGATATAAGAACAGATAGCAAGAAGCCTGCCATGGCCATACAGTTTATAAGTAATATAAGTCTCTGTGTGTTTCCTTGGGGGACTCTAGTGAGAGAGATTTGTCCTGACCATGGGCCAGGCAGGACCAGGAAAACTTCAGCTACACAGGCCTGCTCCAACAGGCCTGGTTTTACCCATGTGTCCTTAGAAGGTAACTGTGATCTGGGGTGAGATAGTTGGTCCTACAGCACACGGGGAGCTCATGCCTCACAAACCCTGATGGTATGCTTGCTGGAATGCAGTATCAATGGCTGTGCCTGGCGCTGCTTGAGAATATGCAGCCAGCAGAGCCATGAACTGCACTGGTCCTGGGCCCTCAGTCAGACCTTTTCTATTCCTAGTTAGTCTTTCCTTAGTATCACATAAAGAGGATTGGTTCCAGAACCCCATGGATGCTAGTCTTCACAGGTGGTACTCAGATCTCTCATTCAAATGAGGTAGTGTTTGCATAGAACCAATGCATGTCTTTCTGTACATTTTATTTATTTGGGGGTTTGGAGGTAGGATCTTGCTATGTAACTCTAGATGACCTGGAACTCAATGTATAGCCCCAGGAGATCTTCCTGCTTTGAAACCCAAGGGCTGGGATAACAGTTGTGTACCACTACACTTGATTTCCTACAGATTTTACTTTTCCTGTTGATTTTTAATCATTCCAAGATTTAAGATGAAGAACAACTGAACATACATTTGTATCTTGTTTAAAGAAAACAAAAGAAGCTAGGCATTATGGCACATACTTATAATTCCCAGCACTTCGAAGGTAGAAGCACTGGGGTCAGGAGTTTAAAACCTCAACTCCAAGTTCAAGGCCAGTCCTGACTACATGAGACTGACCATCTGAAACAAAAGAACTGGGAATAGTGGTGTGTACCTGTGTGCATATAGTCCCAACACTAAGGAGGCTAAGACAGGAAGATTGATGAGTTCAAGACCAGCCCAGGTACTAGGCAGGACCATGTCTCAAAAATAACAACAACAACAACAACAAAAAAAAAAAAAACCCACAAAAAAACCCCCAAATTTTATCTGCACTCAGTACAATTCTTTGTCACTCCCTGAAAGGTCACGGATCTGACAGAAAAACTGGAGGAGAGGATGTACCAGGTGTACAGCCATCACAGCAAGATCATTCAGGAAAGGCTCCAAGAATTCACTCAGAAGATGGCAAAGATCAGCCTTCTGGAAATGGAGCTGAAACAAGTCTGCCATACTGTGGAAACTGTATATAAGGACCTGTGTGTCCAGTCTGAGGTAAGAGTTTGGGGGTGTATCCTGTGAGGAAAGAGACCGGGAATGACTCAGCTGAGAGTTAATATGAACAGGAACCAGGCTTCTCCTTTTCCCCTACATTGCTGGGAATGAAATCCAGGGCACATGCCAGACAAGTGCTCTGCCACTGATAGCCACCCCAATTTTAGGAAACAGGGCTGTTACTAAGCCCTACACTGACAGTCCTAGGCCACAGGGTTACAGTCCTTGCAAAAGCTCTTGATGTTCTGCTACCTTGCTGGGGGTCCCAAGTCACATGGTTTGGACTGAGAAGCCAAACTGGTGTCCTTAAATATTGTAGTTAGCTACATCATGAAGGAAAGGGCAGAGTGCCCCCTGCCAGTTAGAGACTGTCTAGCTCCAAGTCTGACTATTCCAGAAAGGCACAACCCCAGGCATGTTCATCCCTCCTGTGAGAAACTCCCCAAACTACCTCTCTGGTTACCAGTAAACCCAGATGAACCCAAGGAGTGAGGCACAGGCTCTTTGTTTTCCTCTTTTATCTGCTCAGTGTTGCACACAGAAGGTACGGCCCCGGGATGGAGGTGGGCAGGAAGGCACACTATAAACTCCAGAGCACCTTCTCACAAGGTCTGCTCCACTTCACTCCCTGGCTTCTGTGTCTCTTCCTGTTTATCTCGCTCCTCCTCAGTTAGAAGAAGCTTAAAACAAGGTAGATGGGAGTCTGATCCATTTTAAAAGGGCCGAGGGCCTACAGAGAATTGCATCTTCTTTCTATAGAGCATATCTGAACATCTTCCAGAAAGAAATTTCCATAGTCTCACATCAGTGTCTCACTTTCCACCATAAAAGCTGGGTCCGTCCACCACTTCTTGAGCAGACTCGAGCAATGAATGGTGCTGCCAGGATCTAGCCAAGCAATTTCTCTGTTGAAGGGCCCTCTGCTGAAGTGGGTTGTTCATTTGCCAACTGTGAATGCCTGGATCCCAGTAATTGCTTTCCCGAGGATCAGAGCGTGAATGTCATGTGTACCTGTGTGAGATGAATGTTAGAACTGGTTTGAAGTCTTCATGCCTCCTGCTGCCCTAGGTCCCCACGTCAGAAGAACAGAGTTACAAAGACGGTGACTGCTGACTGCTGCTAAGAAGCTCCCGTCTTAATGACAGTCACCAAGAGAAGGCACGGAGCCATGCTGAGATTTTTTTTAAATAGTCCTGTAATTCAACACAAACGCCACCAATGATCTTTGTGCAAACTACCAAAGTGTGACAAGGTTAGCCCTGCCATAGGCCCAGCTTTAGCAAATTCACCCAACCCATACCTACAGTTGATTAAATGTTTGATTTCTACCCTGGCCTGCTTTCTTCCAGAACTGGGAAGACTGATCATCTATGCAAAAACATGGATGGTCCTTTGTTCCACCCCACCTTTAGGGACAGTAGTTTCCTTTTTACAGTTAAATGATTCCATTTATTGCCAAAAGCCCACAGCTGACCCATCTCAAATCATGCTCACATTGTAGGATCTCACCCACCTCTCCCTCTCCCTGTTTCTGGAATGTTTCTTCCTGTGGCCTGAGATAAACATTGAAGACTGTGTGACTTTCCCTTGGTTCAAATCCTCAGTCATTGAGACAGGCAAGGAAGATATCCCATACATTCTGCTTTTTCTGCTAGAAGCCTCTCTGCCCGTGAAGCTAGTGCCCTCATGCATGGGCCACACTGGATTGTGCTGCCCCCTTTCAAATACTGGTGAAAAATGTGCAAGTGTAGGTGCACATGCCATGACACATTTGGAGGCCAGCAGACAACTCAGGTCTTGGGCCTTATTTGAGATGGGATTTTCATTGTTCACTAGTGTGTACCCAGGCTGGCTGGTCCTCAGTTTCACATGGGTTACAGACACATGCTACTGTGCTGGTTTATAAGGCTCTAGACTTAAACTCGGGTTCTCATGCTTTTATGGCAACTGTTGTGCCCGCTTAACCATTCCTACAGCCCTTGTTTTGTTTCTTTCAGTATCATTTTTCATGTCTTTTTTTTTTTTTTAAGATTTATTTATTATGTATATAGTGTTCTGCCTGCATGTATGCTTGCAGGCCAGAAGAGGGCACCAGATATCGTTACAGATGGTGGGAATTAAACTCAGGACCTCTGGAAGAACAGCCAGTGCTCTTAACTGCTGAGCCGTCTCTCCAGCTCTTTTCATGTCTTTTTCCAAGTTTGTCCGAAGCCATGGGTACATGCCCTGTGACTCTTACAGTCCACTAACAGCTTTTTCCCCTCTGAACATGAAGTAGTGATATAATTACTGTGCCCTGTTCTCTTCTTCATACCCACCTACCCACCAAGAACCATGCCTCTCTCTTGGCACTTTGGTCTTGGAACTGTGTCTCCCTCCATGTTCATCCCACAATGAGAACAAGGGCCAGGAGTATCTCACATGGTCTGCTCATCAGAACCTCTGAAGTCATACAGTGCACTCCCTTATATATTTATTTATAACCTCTGTTCAGTTCACAACCTCTGAACAACTAACACCAGGTGAGGGACGGAGGGGTAGGGCTTGATAGTCACCTGGTGACAGCTGGAAGACTTAGCTGTGCTATCCCAGCTCCTTACTGCTATCTCCCTACCCAGACCACTGTGACACCCTCCTCCCCAAGCCCAGGGTCCAGCACTGACCTTCGTAAGTGTTCACTGCCTCCAGATTCATAGCATGCCGGATCACATGGTATTCATCAGAAATCCCATTTCCTCCTAGGATGTCTCGGGCCTGGCGTGCAATGTCCAGGGCTTTCCCACAGTTGTTTCTCTTCAGCAGGGAGACCATTTCTGGGGTAGCCCTGGGAGTGGTACATATGTTATAAACACTGGGTCTCGTGCCCTGACCACACACAGCAGATGGAGCACATGTCCAACCGGTAAGGCTGTCCCCGATCCGCCCATCAAAACAGAGGGAAAGAAGCTTGTGTCCCTGGGGCCCCATCTGGGAAGGACCTCAGAAAGGGCCCAGGACTCAATCACAGTGTATATGTAATCCCTACTTGTCCTGATCCTTTAAACGGCCAAGCTGCAAACATGCATGGAGGCCCAGTGTGATCTCGGTGAGCATGTCCGCCAGCTTCTTCTGAACCAGCTGGTTCCTGGCCAAGGGGACACCAAACTGAATCCTAGAACAGGCAAGACTAGAGTTCAAGAGGCTTCCCAGTTCATGGGAAGCTCAACATTTAACTGCTCAGGATGTCCCGAGCCATCTCATAGAACTTAAACTTGGTGGGTGCTGGGGAAGACACTGTTGGAGTACAAGGTGAACTCCAGGACCCTCCACACCCCTCATGTGTTACAGCAGCCCCACACACCTGTCCAGGGCGTATTGCCGGGCTGTGTGCAAACAGAACTCAGCAGCTCCCAACACACCCCACGTGATGCCATATCGGGCAGTGTTAAGGCAGCCAAAAGGACCCTATAGGATTGACAAGAGGTCTCAGTCAGCTGAAGGCCTGGGAAGAACCAACTGTGAAGCAGGAAAATCTATCTCCCAAATGCCCCAGACAAGGGAATCTGCATTTAAATCACATAGGGTGTGCACACCAAAACTTGGGTGCAGCAAGCCTTGTTCAGTGCCTCTCCACTGTATGTGCATGCAGTCCTGTACAGCATGGGGCGTGACCTCAGTGCTCAGATGCAAGAAGCTGGCAGGAGACAGTAAGCTGCTCATACAAGCAGAGTAGGAAGTGGTCCAGGACCATATGCATCTTGGGCAGAGCCAATGAGCAAGGGGGTAACCCCAAAAGGAACAATTAGCCCATCCATGAACAGGGAGTATCACAGACTCCACAATGCCCCACAAGCACAAGGACCATGTATGTTAGCTCTCCCCTTGAAAGAGTGAGAAAGATGAGCTAGGAGGTGACCCCCCACCAGTTCCCAAGGTGTCTACCACATACCGCCAGGCTGGACACATTAGGGAGCACGTTCTCCTCGGGCACCTCCACATTGTCCATGATGATCATACCAGTAGATGAGGCACGCAAAGAGAACTTTCCCTCAATCCTAGGGGCTGAGAGGCCCCGCATTCCCTTCTCCAGCAGAAAGCCCCGTATACAGTTATCCTCACACCGAGCCCACACTACGAACAGGTCAGCCACGGGCGAGTTGGTGATCCTGGGGGCCAGAAAGTTATGGAGGGATCTGGCTGACATCCCTCATACACCTTCTCATCCACCACCTCTTGGGCCCCTCACCAGGTCTTGGTCCCATTGAGAGTGTAGCTCTGGTTTGATGGATTGTGGCGAGCTCTGGTCTCCATGCTACCTGGGTCACTCCCATGGTTGGGCTCTGTAAGCCCAAAGCAGCCCAGAAGTTCACCCTTGGCTGCAAGCACAAGACAGGGTCATAAGGCTACCAGTCTCATCCATCTGATAAATTATCTTCACCAGTGAGCCAGGCCTGTGACCAAGGCAGATAAACCTGCCATCATTGCGCTCTGAGAGCTGAGGAAATGGTCTAGGCCATAATCACAATGGCATAATGTGAGGGAGGCCAGGAAGGAAGGGGTTGGCAAAAGTGTCTTGAAGGGCACTAAGAGGTTTAGCTGAAGGAGGGCATGAAGTTTGGGTTTTTTTTTCTTGTTTGTTTTTGAGAAGGTCTCAGTCTGTAGCCCTAGCTGGCCCAGAATTAACAGATCTACCTGCCTCTGCCTCTGGAGTGCTGGGATTAGAGGCCTGTGCCACCACACCCAGCCTGAAGGAGGGTATGAGGAAGAGTAATCACCAAGGTGGTTATTTGGAGAATCCCTAGTAGATGAGTAATCAGAGGAAGAGTGGTCAGAGGGATGAGCATGGTTGTGCATGGCCTTTAATCCTAGCTCCCCCTCCCTCGGGGCCAAAGGTAGACCTCTGAGTTTGAGGCCAGACTGGTCTACAAAGCTGCAAGCCAAACGGCTATATAGTGAGACCCTATCTACAGATAAAACGTGAGTGGCCAGAGAGGTAGAGGAAAGGGCTCAGAGCCTGCTTATGGGCCTCATGGACCTGGTTAGCAGTTAAGACTTTCAACTTTGGACTGGGATGAGGAGCCCAGAAAACAAATCCAAGAGGAGATGATGGTGGCCAGGGGTGAAGTCAAAGGGGAGGGGAGGAGAAGGCTGACAAACGGCATGGGATCAAGGCTGACAACGGAGCCCTAGGGCCTGGCAAGTGGTCTGTAGGAAATAAGGTAGGCAGGCTATGGGGACACTGGGGTCTGCGTTCCAGGCCACAGTTTGACTTCCCTCTACCAGGTAGCGGCTGCTTACCCAGCCGGGGCAGATACTTCTGTCGCTGCTCCTCGCTCCCATAGGTGTAGATGGGGTGCATGACGAGGGAGGACTGAACACTCATCATTGACCTGTAGCCGCTGTCCACCCTCTCCAGCTCTCGGGTCAGGAGACCATAGGCCACTGATGACACTCCAGCACAGCCATACCCTGGTGTAGAGGAGGATCAGGTAGATCAAAGACGACCAAAGTTCAGCCTGGCTGGGACCAGGGACTGAGCAGGGCTATAATGGGGCCCTTCTGGAAGTGGGCCTGGGGCTGCCCTGGCTGGGACTTTCCACTGCCCATTTTACAGAGAGAAGGGGTGGCTTTTCAGGATGTTGGGAGTAAGGACTGCAGAGCATACACAGGAATGTCCTTACCTTTGATGGTGGGTCCCAGCACGCCCAGCTCCCCCATCTCATGCACGATGTCCCGGTGGAAAACTGCAGAGATGGGTGCCAGAGTCATGTCCTGTCTCAGCCTGACATCGTCCCTGACTCTAGGGACAGCTGGGGTGTGTGCATGGCAGCAGGTGCAAATCCTGTGTGGTTGAGGAGCCCGGGGTGCCCACCCGACACCAGGGCACCTTCATTTCGATTGGCCAGCAGAATTCGCGGCATAAGCCTCTCCTGGCAGTAGTTGCGGAAGGTGTCCCTGATGAGTTTCTCATCGGCGGTCAGCTGCTCCTCCAGCACCAGTGGGTCCCTCCAGTCAAACCCAGGACGAGAGGCTGGGTGGGGCATGGGATTCGAATCAGCCAGACCCCGCCTCCTCTTCCAGATTTCTAAGCTGCACCCTTTCTCCCCATATCGCTCCAGGTGAATGCTGGCTTCAAAACAGTCCGGCAAACACAACCCTTCTCTAGCCCAATAGAAACAAAGACCTTAGCGCTTCTGACCCTGGGCACAACCCAGCCTCCCTTCCCAGCAGTCCTTGCAATCACAGACAGAGACCACCAAGGGTAAGACAACAGCTGGACCGGGGGTAGGTGGGAAGGTGGATCTTACATTTGGCCGATCGACTCTGTGTCTTCTCTGCAAACACAGGATGAGAAAGACACACTGAGAAAGTGTCCTTGTGTCTCCCTGCCGACCCCATCCCGGGCCCCCCGCACTGACCGGTGTGTGCTGCCGCCGAGCTCCACGTACGCGGGACACATGGGAAGTGCAGGCCGGGCCTGTGGCTCAGTAGCCGCGCGGAGACTCCTCTCAAAGCCATATATATAGTCGGCGACTGTCGCAGCGACCGCCACCTGGAAAAGCCGGGCGTCAGCAGAGTCCAGCTTTCTCCCTCCCAGTCCCCTGCTTACCTGGTGCCTGCAGACTGTGCTCGGGACCTGCACACTTGACCTCGGCCTGATAGGGGTTGCTCATTGGTTCCTCCTTGGTTCCGCCCAGAACACCCCCCTCCTCCTTTTAAAAGGGCCAAGGTAGCAGCCTGCCTTTGGAAGCGGGCTCTTCCTTGCGTAGGCAGGTAGTCCCTTTAAGAATCCAAACAAGGAAGGGGCGGAAAACGAGGGCACAAGCCCAATTGGCCAACTGTATTTCTGCTCCGCCCACCCCATCTTTGCCAGTTGCCAAGGGCCTGAGGGGCGGGATCCCAAAGTTCATTAAGGAAGTCTGGGGGCCAGACCTTGAGAAATCCGCAAATGGTGTGCGCGAGGAGAGAAAGGTGGGTCGCTAGTGGGTGATCTCAGCCAATGCCGTCCGCCGGTCTATCCAGCTTGTTAGTTTGTGTGTACTCTGTGAGTGGGCGTGATCTCGTGTGCCAGAGTAACTGCATTTCTGTGAATGTTGCTTGTATGTGTGCGGTTCTCCTGCTTGCTAGATGTTTGTGTAGAATAATCTAGAATATGTTGTAACTGGTGTCTTGGATATTATTATTTCTATTGGAATATGCTCTGTTTTGAACAGAGTAAGACAAGAATAGAAAAAAGGGAAAATGTAACTGTAAACCTCTCCTGAGAAATGGTAACTGGTTATCCCGTCAAAACAGCCGCCTTACTAGTGTCCTTCGAGAGGAGAATGGTTTAACTATTGATCCAGTATTTGCTTCTGAAAGGTGCTTGACTGACCATAGAGAGGGATTTCCCTTTGTAAACTTATATCGGCCCCTTATTGGCTCTTAGTAGTTTAAGCCACCAATGAAGATGGTTTAGCAATAATGTGACAACTATAAATGTTGTAGAAACCCACGTGCAATTGCTCAAACCCAGGGTGTTTTTTCTCCTCAGAGTCCACAAGTAATAAATTCTTCTGATCCTCCTCAGTCTTTAGTGTCTGAGCAACTTTGTCGTGTGGTCTTTCCTGTAACATGTTTGTGGGGTCATATTTCTGTCTTGTGACATAATTGGCTATGTCCCCTTTTAGAGCTGTGTGTGGGTGAGCTCCTGTGGTAGTTATCTTTACAAGTGTATCATGTTCTGTTTTGTTCCCCCCCCCCCAGTGTATGTGTGTGCCCTCACTTGAGTGCAAGTTTGAATTACACGTATCTATTTATTGTGTGTGTGTGTGTGAGAGAACACTTACAGGAGAGCCAGTGAGAGAGAGAGAAAACACACAATTGCCCAGTGTGTGTGTGTGTGTGTGTGTGTGTGTGTGAGAGAGAGAGAGAGAGAGCAAACACACACTTACACAAGTGCCTAGTGCGTGCCACAGCTCCCCATGTGGAGGAGGTGAAGGGCAACTTTCAAGAGTTGTTTCTCTCCTACTGTTTGTCCTGGGATCCGAGGTGCTTAGGTTTGTGACAAGCGCCTTACTGCTGAACAGTCTTAAGCAGGCCCCTTTGACACAGGGCCTCTGTTATGCTTCTAGGGTTGCTCAGAGGTTCACCATGACCCTAAACAAACTTTAATAAACAGAGGCTTTTTATTTAGTTACTGGTGCCCAAGAGTACTCCTCAAGATGCAGCCCCTAGCCACATCAGCCCAAGGCTTATAAAGGCAAAACCCACAAGATGACATGTGGTCAGGCTCTAATTTTAACATATATATCTTATAGTTGCCCTAGTCATCTTTGTTAGCAGAGTAAGCAAGTTTGATTACAAAAGCAGAAATAGCAGTTAGTCATATGACCAGCTAGAACAGTCAAGACCAGTCAATTTAAGAATAGGCTTGGCTGGGAGGCAGTGGTGGGTGCACCTTTAATCTCAGCACTCAGGAGGCAGAGCCAGGCAGATCTCTGTGAGTTCAGGGCCAGCCTGGTCTACAGAGTGAGATCCAGGAGAGGGACCAAAACTACACAGAGAAACCCTCTATTGAAAATAAATAAAATAAAACAAAATAAAATAAATAAATAATTTATGTTCAAAGAGTAAGACACAGCCAGGTTGGTGGTAGTGCATGCTTTTAGTCCCAGGTAGCGCAGGCAGGCTGGTCTCTGTGAGTCAAGGCCAGCTTGATCTACAGAGGGAGTTCCAGGACAGCCAGGGATATACAAAGAAACCCTGTCTCAAAAAAAAAAAAAAAAAAAAAAGAAAAAAGAAAAGAAAGAAAGAAAGAAAGAAAAGAGGAAAAGAGGAAGCTATGTAGAGTTTCAGAAAATGGTATTGCATTTATTCAAATACAGGTAATTAAAGTATAATTATGTAAACTTAAATGGCACATGATTATGATTAAATTAAATCAATCTTAATTTTATATTTACAGTTTCAGTCCAGAGCATTACATTCATGCAGTGGTAAGAAGCACTGATTTTTTTCAAATATCCATCCTCCTGAGAAATGCAAGTGTTGAGCTGAAGTTGTTAACTCCTGTTTGAATATATGATACCCTAACAGAAAGCCAAAGTCTAGGAAATGTAAATGTTATTTGTGATAAATAAAACATACACAAATATATATACTAACGTGTGTATTAGTATTATGTGTATATTATATATAGTAGTTATATCTGGTTTTGGCCTATCTTTGAATTTTTCCAACATTTTGAACTGTTCAGATCTTGAGCCTATACACAAAGAGGATTGTGGAACCTTTAAGAATCTGCATCTTGTGAGGATGAGGAAAGCAGACCGGTGTGTTCAGTATGCTCCGGGTTTTCAGGAAAACTTTTTTTTTTTCTTTCGGTTTTTCGAGACAGGATTTCTCTATATAGTTTTGGTGCCTGTCTTGGATCTCGCTCTGTATACCAGGCTGTCTAAAAACAGTGAAGGCCTCAGTGTACCCCAGGATGCCCCACTGTTCTGCCTTCAGGGCATATTCCCAAACAAGGTCTGCTTATATGAAATATACTCACCCTGCATTACAAATTTATTCTATTAGTTTCATAAGATGAATTTCATTATGTATTCTCAGACCTTCATCATTTGGTTCGTATATCTTTTTTGTTTTGAAACCATGTAGAAATAATTAGAATCTAACAGCTTGTAAGGAAAGGCCTGATACTCAAGTGTGTTTACATGTGTATTCACTACTAGGATTTTATTTTATCATTCATTCATTTAGATACAGGGTCTACCAATGGAACCCTGGATGTTCTACGATTTGCTTTGCTGACCAACCTGGCCTTGAACTCAAGAGATCTGGCCGCCTCTGCCTCCCAAGTGCTGAGATTAAAGGTATGTGCCACCATGCCTGGATAATTACTAGGACAAAAAATATTTATTTCTGGCTGTGTGTGTGCACACATGTAACATGTTGTGTGTGTGGAGGTCAGAGGCCAGCCTGCAGGAGTCATTTCTTTCTATCTACCTCGTGGGCTCTTTGATGGAACTCCAATCGTCAGGTTGGTGACAGCAAGCATCTTTTCCTGCTGGTCCATTTCACTGGCCCTATTAATTTCAGTTTTGATTTCTCTCCCTTTTTAAGCCTTACTTCTTATGATTAGTGTGGCAGGGTGCCAGAGGACAGGTTTGTGGAGTTGGTTCTCTACTTCCACCTATACAGAGGTCCTGGGGATTAAACTCAGTTCATTAGGTGTGCATAGCAAGTGCCTTTCCCCAGGGAGCTAGCCTGCCAGCCCACAGAGTATCTGCATTATAATGCCATTGAGTCCCAGAAGTCTCTGTAGCATATGATGTGTGCCTTCAACTGCTAATGATTACTTCTGGCAGTGCAATTTCATGAATTCCTTCTCCTCTGCCTACTGAATTGCTAAAGTGGATCGGATTGTTTCTATAACTCTTAGTATCTATCCTGTCCTAACACCATGGCTAGTTTGCTGTTTGCTTTGTGACATTGAGGACAGACAGTAGGGCAGTGGATACACCAGGCAGACACTGTGATGGATCTCCAGCCCTACCCTGTGTTTTAAAGGACACTCACTGATAAACATTTCCCTGTC